TCTTCGGAACACGAAAACCGACGTTACGTTTGAGTATAAATCTTATTCGGCTCGTTTAGACAAATTGGTTTTCTCGGGAAACATTTCAAAGTTATAACGTATAACCGATCAGTGCAAAACGCGCGCGCGGTCTATACACGATTTTAAATGCTCATAACTCGTGCGGTTAACAATCCCCATGTGGAAGACAGAAAAAATGCACGCCGCGGTGTACCTACTGGTATATAATATAAAAATATATACCTGGTATATGACATTATATTATAAACTGTATAATAATATAAACGTGTATATACACTCGTCGTCATCGAACAAAGAGGAAGCAATCGACAGAGAATTTCTCTCCAAATATGTACAAGACATATATATATATATATATATATATAAATAATACAGTATAACTACGTCGACGGGCCCGCGGGGCGGCAGGTACGGGGGGACGAGTTTTTTCTCCTCTCCGTTTTATACATTATTATTATTACTGAATAGGTATATTATGCGTGCGTATATAATATTATAATATGTAAAGACTTGGCGCGCGCGCGCGCRCACACACACTGTACATACACTCTCTCACACACACACACACACACACACACACTGAACATCCACTCTCACACATACACACATAATACTACACACAGTAGCTACTGGCCCGAAGGCCGACGACCGGCGTTATTTTTTATTTTTTTTCATACATTTTCCGTACATGCCTCTCGATAATAATAATTATTACTATCGCGCGGCGGTTATTATACTTCCACGGACCGGTTTCTTGTTGGCAGTTTATAAACGCGTATGTCTGCGGGCACACCTGTAAAGTCCCCTTCGGTTTTTTCTTCGTCTTCGTCTCTTAACCACTGCGCGTGCGTGTGGTAAAAAATGTATACGGGTATGCGTGTGTTGTTTTTTATCGCGCTTAAAACGCGCCAGTGTAGATTTAGTTGCCTATTACCACCGGGATATTACCTTTCGATATCTGATAACGTGAAAAACGAGTCTATCGCATGCACACACACATCACAGTGTTCATTATTTCCCATAGTCGTTAACAAAAAAACATGGACCAAAAGCTGAAATCAACTTGTGAGTTGTGAGTGTGTGTCTTGTAATTGTAAAGACCGAAATAGGATAATAACATTAATAACAAGTGGCGTGACTTAATGATACCTCGCAACTAAAAAAAACCAAAATAATTATATAAGCGTAACAACACATTAAATATAATAAGTATAATGACTAATCCGGATATACATATATCCTTTCAGGGATTGTTATTTTCGCATCGGGCAGGTGGGACATGTTTTTCTAGAATACGCACTGCACCGTCGCACACAATGCACGCATATAATATTATTATATTATATGTATAGACCGCCGGATAAGGGACAGTATAGAAAAACGACGGTGTAGACGACGACTTCTTTCGAGACTATTATGTATAAATAAATACCGCTACCCACCGTCATTATAAGGGTCCTATATCCTTTTCATGGACTTAACACACGGTCGATTATATTATATTTCCTTCCTATTAGTTATTGTCTGTATCCTCGTGTTCCGCGCGTTTACACAATTTTATACATAAAGAGGGACTTAAATATCACGCCACACGGGTTCGTATATTATTATACATATTTTGTTCGCTAACACTACATCTACGGCCGAAGCATTATTTTCACCGTAGAGTGTCGCGACTCGACTCACTCGCCATCCAGCGAGGTCGACGTTAAACGGCGTTTGGTCCGTCAGTTTGTATACATCATAATTATATTATAATCTACATTACGAGACGACCCTGGTGCGCTAACGATGCCCGCCCATCGCCTAATTGGACGTAGTCCGCGCGAGACGGTCGAGTCGTCGTCGTCGTGGTCGGTGCGTGTGGTCTACAACTCCAACCGGAGTCGATCTCCGAGAAGACACGTTAGGATTTCATTGAAGCGGCAGCGGGTAAAAATAACAAAAATAATAATAATAATAATTGGAGATATCCCGGACAGATATTATCTGCGGTACGTAATTTATTGTACATGTAAAAATTCCGAGCTGTTTGCGTGACGAACAACACCGATGCGTGACGGCGGGACAGGTGATGGGTAGTACAAGGGGGCGTTAAAGACTGCACGAGGACTCCCACCCACTACTCTGCCAGCGTATGTCTAATAATATTATAATAATATACACGTAATAATAACACACGCGTATAGAAATAAGGTATATAGATACGCACACGCGGTTCGGTAATGTTTATAATGTTATAAGCAAGGTTTTGATAGGGGGTGCAGTGCACACCGGTCGACCGGGTGCGGTGGGGGTGTGCGTGTGCGTGAAAGAAGGGGAGGATTTACGATTGATTTATTTTGCCCGTCCGTGTGACCGAACATACATCGGTTTGCGCGCGATTTGACACACGAAACGCGGTTGTCACTACAGACATGCCGCTGCACCCACTGAAACAACAACAGTACAGGTATCGGTGTCGTTGTGAAGACTATCTGCAACACCGCCCGCCGAGTTTATTGTACTCTTTTCCGGTATATATTTTTTTATCCGTGTTCCGTTAACCATGACAGACCCCCCCCCACCAAGAGAAAACAAAAATCTTCTCTTGAAAGGCCTGCAACCGATGAATTATACCGTGAGAAATGTTTACAAACATGTATATACATATAGGATATAGATATATAATAACACGCACATCTAAGACACCGTTTATACACCGTGGAAAGTTGATGAGAGGAAGAGAGGAGGAGCGGCTCAATCATTAATTTCGATAATGAATTTAAGGAGAAAAGTAGAAAAAAACTATAAAACGAGAACGGACGCGACTCTGTCACGGTGTTCCGAGGCCGATGAATCGAAACGTAGTTGACGGGATCCACGGTATAATTACCCAGAAGTTCACGACCCGTAACCACCGAGCAATAAACGTGGTTTTTTATTCATCGTTGTAGCCCGACAACGGCACATGGTCGACATCACCATTTACCACATCGACAACGACAATGATGACAACAACGATAACAAACGCATCGACACCTATAGAGCGGTCTTACACATAATGTCGTCACTGGGACACACACAATCGACCATCATTGGTAGCGGACGCGCACACTATGACGTTTGTACAATTAACGTCAGACAAGATTCACATCAATAACGCGCTCGCGATTTCGTCGTCGTGAKAACCAACAGTGGTGGGGCGGACGGGRAGAACCACCGCACACGCGCCCGTCATCGCTTTCACCGACCGAGACACTATAAGACGTGCGAGAAATTAAAAACAATATGAACATGGTGTGTCGGCGGCGGCGGCGGTTATAATGCCGCGGTTAACCGCTCCGAATATGCGCGTAATGAACACCCGTGGGTGGAACTGCTTTTTGTGGGTCATTCCGAGTTCACGTGTGTATAAATTCCATACACGTCACCCCCTCATCGTGACAAAGCGCGCGCGTCGACTCATCTATAAAACTCGACGACGGACGGTATAAACAGCAAACCGCGATCGGTCGGATTAATYGTCACGAGCACCGTTGCGCCGTTAATGAAGTACATAATATACGATTTTATAATTTAGAATAATACGTTGTAGTGTGCAAAGTATGAGAACTGAAAATACGCTACCGTCGAATTATACCACGAGCGTAGTTCTTCTCAGAGTTGGAAACACGAAAACTCCGAAACAACCGGTAAACGSTTTCTGATCGCGAATGGCGCGAGCGTTTTAAATGATGATAAAAAATATTAAAATAATATACGACGGCAACAGTCGCAGACGGCGATCAAGTCCTCGTCGTGACCTCGCGCGCGCTGCAGTGGTCTAGTGGTCTGGCTGGTAGTCGCCGTAATGTACGCCGCGCGTTATTTTATCGAAGACCAACCGAGACGCCGCCGCCCGTCTTGTCATGACTATAATTAGCGGCGGCGGTGGCGGCGGCGGCGAAACCCGAGAGCAACAACTCGAACCACTCGTCGCGCAAAGATTACGCGACGAGAGCGCACCGCGTCGTTTAACTCCCGTCCGCCCCACCACGAAAGCAATACCGCCGTCGTAGAGTACCATTAAAATGTATTTATAAAGCGCGACGAAAAAAAAAAAAAACCTTTCATTATTACGACTACTACTACAACATTGGAAAATGTCAATTTTCTGTTTAGCCCTCCCTGCCCGGATTTTATTTTTATTATTGTATTATTATATTATCGTTATTCACGAGCGCGCGCTCGGGACACGGAGCACGTCATTATATTATTATATTATCGCCGTACAGCACGTCGGCCGTATATACGTGTATACAGACACGTTTTTATTACAAATTCAACCAATGCACCTCCGGGGGGTGCCTATTGTGTGCAGCGCGCCGGGTTCGCACGACAAACCGGTGTGGGGTCCCGAGGGTTAGCGGGCGGTCTGTACCGGCTCAGTGGTGCCCAAATTTTTGGCGACCACGTCTGCGGGACGGTTAGGAATTCGTTCGTTGGAAGAGAAAAAAAAACCCAACACCAACACAATGAAAWAATAATAATAGTATATATTATGCGCACGTCGTCGTCGTGTAACTATATAACAGCGTATATTATAACGAGCCAGGACGCGCACATACACCGTTGTTATCTAAATAGTCGTGGAAATGTGCCAATAGTTCAAAGGTACAGTGGCGATTCGATCGTTTTTCGCGTGAATACGATTTATGCGTGTGTGTTAAGTATATATATATATACACTGCAGACTGTACAATATATATATATATATACACGACGCGCTGCACTCAGATTCACACACGCGTTGTTTTTAAACGCCTCTGTCTAAATCTGTTGCCGATAAGAACACACGCGTTGCGTAATGTGTGCACGACAACCGAGAGTGGATTTTTAAAAYAACAAATCAACCACCGATACGCGAGTAGTCTCTACACGTCTTGAACAACTAATACTAATTACTAAAGTTTTGTTCTGATAGTATTTATAATTAGATGAAAAAAAAAAACGCTTACCGGGTGCCGGGCAGCGGCCGCTACAGCTGCTGCATTCATCGTGGCTGCGGCGTACATGACGTGTTAGCAGCTCATGGCCGCAAAATCAAATATCACTCTATTAATTAATCGACGGCGGACGGACGGACCGAATCGTATACACAGGATGCGCGCACACGTCGTTGAACAAAATAAACAAAGACCGCCGTGGAAAAAAAAAACGAAAGAGTAACGAGATCGCACAAACACTCACGCACGGGGAAACGATCGAAAAAACGCAGTATATCCGCGGATATAATATTATTGCACTGAACCCGATACAAATTATACACGTTAACCGTACGCGAACGATTCGATATGGATCGCACACCGACGGAACAAAAATTAATCGACGAAACAATCAGGCACAACTCGCAATACTCGTTGGACACACGTGACTGTTTTACGGCGGAGACGCACGATTAGGATATTTTTAAAAACATAAAAAATAAATTAATAATGCACCAAAAACTTTGCGCGAGAATGGTCGTAAGTACGGCGCGCGTAATATAAATAGTAAATACGTAGTACGGCACGCGTAAACACTGTACGAAGACCAACGGAGCACTGAAGAGGAGCCGTCGACTGAGCCGGTGTGTGAACACGGACGCCCCGCCGCGCCCCGCGCGCCCATCGTACACGCACACTCGCACACGCACACGCACACGCACACACACGCAGCACACACAAGGCTGATGGTCCACCGCTCCCCACCGCGCCGGCAGTAAACAAAACGATCGCCATGGTGGTGCGGAGTGTGGCGGGACGGCGTCAGTGTCGGTGGTGACGGCGGGGTCGCGCAGGGGTCCAGAAAAAATCGAACCTAAAACCCATGGAAGACGTGTAGCGAGGCGTGTGCGTGTGTGTATCAGTCCGTGTGTACGTGTGTGTGTGTGTATAGTGGGGACGGGGAACATTGAAAAAAGACCTTTTCACAAAATGGCCGCCCACTCTTTACACTAGAGCGAAAACCCTCTTGCTTCTTTTTCCAATAACACAAAAGGTCTCTTCAATTTTATTCTTTTTTTTCTCTCCTCTTTCTCCGTCATTCTCTCTCGTACACGCGCGCACACAACACCGTCCCGGCGCGTCACCCGTCTGCCATCCCTGCCGCCCGCCMGGCGGATCAGAAGGGTTTGAAAAGTTCCCCCTCACGACAGACCCACCCTTGCCGCCGCCGCATCGTCACCGTCACTCCACTGATTTCATCGTTCCCCGACTCCCCGCCGCCACCGTCGCTCACTCACACTCTCTCGCGCGCGCGGCGCAAAGCTCTCCGGTAGTTTGCACAAATATGGCAGCCGCATTCGAGCCATCCCTCCAACGCCGCCACCCCTTCGCGACCCTTCGCCACCCCGCCGGCCAGACCGCATCGGCTGTTTGGTCCCTTCTGATTACCAGTATCGCTCCGCCGGCCCCGAGCCCCGAGCAAAACCCCAACACGCAAGCGGGCCCGTACGGTTTTTTTCACGTTTACCAGCCACGGCTCCACGTGGAGCACGCCGTGCCGGCAGCCAATACGCCGTCGTCGTGGCATCGGTTCGCAATGAGCCGCCGACCAGTCGCGTCACGCCATCGGCCAATCGGAGCCCGTCTACCACACCGTTGTCGCGTAGCAACCGGTCGGCTCCACGTGGAGCATCGCGCAAACACGGATCCCGGGGAATATTAAAAATTTAAAAGGAAAAATGTTTTTTTCGCTCTCTCTCTCTCTTTGTGCCTCGCTGTGTCTGTCCCTCACTATCRTTCCGTCTCATTTTCTCTTTCTCTCTTTTTCCACTGAGTGAGTGGCGTCGACGACGAATGGTTGGCGGGTGAGGTGGCGGTATAGTAGTAGTAGTTGTATGGTGGTAGTAGTAGTACTATAGTAGTTTTACTGGTACTAGTGGTAGTAGAGTGGCGGCAGCGGCGAAGGGCAAAAAATAACAAAAAAACTTTTACCTGGTTTTTTTTTCCGATCGACCATTTCAACCTTTTTTTTTGTTGTTTTGTTTTTTTGTTCTGGACACACAATTGGATTATCTTCTATCTATAGGACGACGCTACCACCACCGCCGCCGCCGCCGACGCTGCGTAGAGTGTGACAAACCGTGTTTTATTTCGAATAATAATATATATATAAATTTCAAAATAATAAAACGTATAATATAAATGTAAAATAATTTTATACACATATATTACGAACGCGGAACGCGTATAGATATATATTTACACGTGTATAAAGTATTATTATGACAGGCATCGATGAACGAAATGGAGAATAATAATACACGTATTATTTGAACACGCTMCCGGAATCGACGTTTGATTAAAAACAATAACATAGAAATAAATACGAACACTATATKATATGAAATAATAAATACATTGATATAATTATTATTCTCGTACCCTCATCCAATATCACTTTTATTATTAAGGTATTTTTTCTCTTTCACCGCCCACCGCCGGSTTATTACGAAATTGATGACAATACTTCCATTTAATGAGAGCCTTGGACTGTGTTTAATTTTCGTGTTTTTTCATTGCTTCACGGTACAACGATAATGTTATTATCACGTTGCGGAACGACGACAACGACGACTATCAGAGGCACGGCTGATCAAAATCTTAGTTTTACTTTTTATTATAATAATATATTACAAAACGTATTACGAATTTACGACTTAACGAGCAAATTAAATGGAAGAGCATATTATGACGTGTGATACGAAACATCGCCAATCATAATAATACGTATGTCGAGTAGGTAGTTTTCAATATATGTGTCATATACAGGATATAATATACGTTATGGATGTACATAATGTTATACGTAAAATAATACGGAAAGCAGAAGAGGAATTCGGAATTCAAATTATACACATGCCTAGAGCTGAAATATACAAAATAATAAAAGCTCACAAATYGTTTCTTGATTTTATATTTATTGTTTTTTATTTAATTATTTATACCTATTTTTCCCCCGGCTTTTACTCTCCTCGTGCATTGTCTTTTATTGTTCTTAATATTATTATATATTGTACCTTGTACACACACGCGCGGCCAACATAATATTATACAACTATATGTACATTATAATGTACCTACATTTACGAAAAAATAATGTCGCGTCGACTCGTTTACACAATGCCTGCAGCTCCAACACACGGTTGCGGGGAATAACACACAAATAAAAGTAGTTATCGGCTAAGCAAATACGCAACAAAACGGCAAACAATGTGGAACCTGCTAATTGTGTGTTTTATATTATATAATGTACGTGAGCGCGCGTGCATGCACACACTAGTACACAAACAGCAACAACAAACGACTCATAAATCCTTTATAATATTTTCGAAATGCAAAGGCCTAAGCATATTGTGTGGGCGTTATATTATGCTCGATAAGCAGTAATACAGATGCATATATTGTTATTAACAAGTAATAACTTATTATCGTGTAATATTATATCATTATATTATATGATATTAATTATAAGTGTATACACTTATATACATGCTATATATGCATATAACATAGATAAATGATTTCGACTTTAGCGWGTGTCGGCGTAAGTCATTAATTTCCGATTGGGTATGCTCAGGACATATTAATTTATATTATAATTATATGTACTTATAAATTTAAACAATAATATTATACACGACCGTATAAGTGCATATATAGGTAGGTAATATTATGCTGCACGATTGATCGGTGGGGAAACAAATCGACTGKATGCCACTTGCAGCACTACGTAACCGCCATAGCTATATACGTATATTATAGCGTAATGAGGGGTTTTATTTTATATTTAAATTTTATCACGCGCATGAGAGCAGTGGTGGAGGTCTCTCATTATTTTTTTATTGCGACGATTTCGGTCGGGGAGAGCGAAAAAATACAAACAAAAAAAAAACGAAAGAAAATAATGTACATATAATAAAACAACAAACACGCACGTCATCGTCGCGCGCCGTCAACGACCCTTAATACTCGACTATATGCGCACTTCCCTCGGTCGCGTATTGTATATAACGTATACGTATATTATATATAGGTACATATACTTACTTACACACACACACACACACACACGCATATATATATATATATATATATATATAGGATATGTATTTATAACGTTTGTGCGCACCGTGTTAAATAAAGCCATACGACCGCACCCCACGGGATCATCCGGAGACACGTGTATAATGTTCAAAACGGCGCGGCGGAGGCCGACTCACTCGTCGTCGTCGTCGCCGTAGTCGTTGCYGTTGCTGTTGCCGTCCCCTTCATTATAATGACCCGCGGGTAAAGTGGCACCCTCCACGTCATTATATCATAAACTGACGCCCACGAAACCTTCGCAACCACCGACCCCCGGTCTCGCGCGACCAATCGATATCTCTCGACGACCGTATGACCGTAAGTACATGCATATATAATATATATACACTATTATATACGCGTGTAATGACTGTCTGTACAGCGAACACGTTATAATAGTACTATATACACAGTGTACATATACATATATACGGAACTGCGCCTTTGGCGTTTGTATATAATATATTTCTATATATACGTATAAAATATATGACGCTGACACGCTCCGAGCTTTTGTGTGGAATACGTAATATATTATATAATATAATAATATAAATTATTATAAAATATAGGCTCCGGGGTTTTTAACTTGGCGTAATCGGATTGTCGTACAGCAAATTTCATTATAATTTTATCCTTTAGTTTCGCACAGCTTCGTTCGTCTGGTTTGCGGCGCATACGCACCGGATATATACGGCAGCGGGCGACTGATGGTGACATGCAGTGGCATAGTACGTGCATATATATATATATATATATAGCCGATCGGCCGGTTCGCGACGACGATAATTGCGTTTGCCAATCTCGTTACGGCCGATAAATTTCCGTTAGCGTCAAACTTTTGTTTTAATTTCCGCAACGTGTGTAGATTTGTATATATATATAGTATATATATTACGTATACGTTATATGCGCGCAGGGGATAATGGATTAGATCGATTCACGTTCAGCAAGCCGTGTTTGTGCCTGAATTTTTTCTCGGTATCCCCACGATTTCCTTCGTCCGAAAAGTCGTTTATTAGATAAATTATGAGAAAGCGAGTATACGACGCACTGTACACATATACACGCACACTTCCATTTTGGAGAGAACTTTTGCGATATGAACACAAGAACTTTATTGCGCCGGAGGTCCGGAGGGTTGTGCGCGGTGCTAACACCACTCTCTCATCGCCACCGTATGTATATATATATATATATAGGTAGTGTAACGTGCAGTATATATACGCCACGGTGATGCTTGTATATTGAATTCGACCCTCTCTCTTTTCACGACATCGCGCACGAGAGAAAAGAGCCGAACGAACGAAGGGGAAAGAAAAAAAAGCAAGAGACAGCAGCGACAATATATATGTGTTTATATATATATATATAAGAAGAAAGAAAAGCGAAGACGTCTAAAGCTCCGGGCGTCGCCCAATTACTTTCAACTTTACACTCAGCCCCATGACGCCGCCACCTCACCCGGCCATTTGCTCCCCATTT